GATATAGTACTATACTACTATATAGATATAGTATATAGATATAGATTAACTAACCTATGTTATAACAGTCTCATATAGACTAGAATGTGGGATACATAGTCGAGCATCGATAAAACATATTCCTCCACTAACCTATATGATATGCAGCACAAAATACCCATGATATTATCGACTGAGTTTTGGTTGTCTTCAAAGTATGTCGTTTGTTGTGGATTCGCATGAAACTGGATAAACTTTGGTGAGATCTTCTGGTCTGAGTCAGGCACCGATTTTAGCTCGTGTATCAGCATCCCTCGGACGAGATATGGTGGCCTGCATGAACACCGAACAAATGAAACGGGGGAGTGGACGGTGGAAAAGCGACTCAATCGGTCAGTTTTCTTGGCTCGAGAATTGACACGTGCCAGCGTGAGCTTGACAGCAGTACGAATGAGCCACTCGCCGACAGCGGATCACCCGTTGGACAGATTTGATTTAAGTCAGCCTTAAAGCCTGGCGTTCTTCCAATACTGTTAATTCAATACAATGTCCGTGCGTGGCGAACTTTTCATTTCGTCATAGTGAAAACTGCCCAAGAAGAGACGTCAAGATGAATATCTTCTATAATACGCATGCGAAAATTTCACAAAATTTCTGCAAATGTTTCTCTCGTCAAAAATTCGTCGAAGTTTCGATCGGTTTCTTAAACGATAATTTATATAAAAGTCAATTATTTAAAAAGACCGAGTTTTAAGGATTTTAATAATCTAAAGATATATCTATTTATCTTGGAAGTAAATTTTCCTTACTTCCGCCAAAGATATTAATTTTGTCTCTGAGACAATAATTGAGATTATGCGAATGGATATGCGAATTATTTAAAAGATTTGGAAGATTTGAATAATCCAGAGATATCGACGTATTCGTTTTAGAGCAAATTTTTGTTCCAGTTTTATGTAAAATCATTTTATTGCAAGGGACACTGAACTTTATTTTAACGACACCCTGTACAATCGGTGAAACTAAGAACGTTCTCCTTTGGCACTTGCAAGTATGCGATAAACTACTGCGTATAGTGTCATCGACGCATTTCCGCGCACGTTATTTAATCCAACGTAGTCTAGCACGTGCAACAAGAATCCTTTTGGCGCCGGAAACGTAAAAGTCGTAAGCTAGCTTAATACGTTATCTGTGACAGTCGCAGACTGGCAACGCGAAAAGTGATCTCCACTGGTGTGTCGTAGCGCCGCAGAACTTAAGATATGTTTAGAAAGATCAGTCACATTGGCATGCTAAAAATAGTCACCATAATCTTCTGCTCTTATTTAAATAGATCACTCAGTTCAAAGGTGGTTTCGTTTCAATTTTGTTTCCTTCAAACATCGTTAGATTCGCAACTATGATTCACAGCTACGATAATAGCATTGTGCAGAAGATGTTCACTCGTTTACTTTTTTTCCTTCAAATTAATTCTGTTTGCGTCGATATGGCGATTTACCAATGACCTAAATGTCCCTGTTCAGTCAAAGCCAATCGCTACCAAGACTACTATTTACAGATTACTACATTCTTTATAGTCATTCTCCTGGGACACCTTGTATTCCCTCTATGAAAGCGAAAAACATGCAACGGCAGTATCCACCATTTTTCAAATGTCTACTTAGCCATCCATGCTATGTTTGGTATCCCTCCATTTCAGATCGTGTAACCATAACCTATACTAACGCCGGTTCATACTTCATAAATAAATTAAATATCGTGTATCAATAGAAATCAGCGAAAGGACCTTGGCTTAAAGATTCTTAAGATGTCAACTTAAAAATCTCTTTCGATTTCATCCATTCTGCACCCGACATCGCATTCAATAACATTGGCGATCAGCGAGAAATGACGATTCCTCGTACGGTTACTTCGCACATATACCTACATACCAGGCATACGATCAGCCATGCATATAAGTTTGCGAGGCGTAGGTATGCTTATCAGCGCAAACCGATGGTGGGATCGGCCGAAAGGCTTGGCCAATACAAATGCATCGCATTACGCGTGCACTGACTTGAGCTGCAGCCGCAAGGTCGGCATTTCTGACGCGCGCATGACATCACGTAGGCGTGCACGATGGAATATATCGTCTCCGCGTATAATATACCATCGACGCGTTCGTCTATTTACCGCCTCGTACGATTGTTACGATTGTTGCACCCTAGAGTTAGGGTTAAGTTATACGAGTCGGTTGAATATCTGAGCGAAGCTAAGTTAATTTGCCGAATAATTCAGGAAATTTGGTGAGGAACAATTTTTAAGCGATCTACATTTCCAGACAGACTATTTAACTCGTTATTAGCGACAACTATGTTAGACGATTGAATTTATCGTGTGCTTACATTGTTAGCTTGACGAGGGCATCTATTCGTTAGAGACTCATTGTACTCGTAATTCATTTTGTTGTTTGTTCTATTAGTGCTTAAATACCTCCTCGTTGACGCAATAAGCTTTTCTCTTGTTGAACCTAAAGTAAAGGATATTTTCTCGTATCCCCGTTATCGTATTACGTACAGATGGCGTCTTGTTGTATACGACAAATTTGATTACTCTGTGCAAAGTTCAAGATCGAATTTGGAGACGTTGAATCTGTAAATCAAATAACAATATGATTTCTTCCTCTGCTTCGACGTATATCTTGTTCCTGTGGCTCAATTTTTACTGGACAAGACACCTGTATTTTTGACTAAACGGTACTGGTCCTTTCGAAAGTGGCGCCATCATTCGCCATTTTTCAATAGCGACCGAGTCATCGTTAGATCGGAACGAGATTTGAATTGCGACCTGTAATGCATGAGGTATAGAAATGGAAATCGTGAGTTGTAAGGCTTACAATTAGTTAAGGTCCACTTCGTTGGTACGATGCAAATTATTCGTTCTTGATAGGGCGACACACAATTGACCGTCTCCAAAGCCTGATTGACACTGACAGTCTGCTTGTGGTACGATCTCAATCCATTCGAATATTAATCGTTGCCATTCGAATGGAATAAGGCTTGATTCGCAACGATACTCTGCGGTCCAATCGATTACTCAATACCGTAGGGAGATAAAGCCTGATTTACAATGATGCTCTAGTCACGGACGTGTATAAGCTTGATTCAATATGGTTTGTCGTGCCTTCCCGCCGATCCATAGCGATGATTTACATTCACGATCCGTTCGTGGTGAGGTTATAATCTGAGTATCAAGAGTTGAGAGATTTTCTTCTTTCTTATCGTTTTTTAAAACGAACAAGAATTGTATGGTGTAGCGATACGGTGAATGGATATGGCAGTATAAATCAAACTTAACCTCTTCGTTGCATCCCATCACTCGTGCCCGTACTATTTCTTCTTCTTCTTGTTATGTACGACTTTCTATTTATATTTTCAACAAGATCCGCAGAATAAAAGTATGGCTGGTATAAAAGTACGACCATAAATTTGAAATACTCTAGTCGGATACTATAGTACTAGATATTAAATTTCTATTATTTTCTAACCTTCGATACTTGCACTATTCCTTTTGAAATAAAAATTATGTTGCCGTATTACTTGTAAAAATACATTCTTTCGTGCAGTTTCTCTACGTCATTTGTACCACGCAATTTCATACCCTTAAGCAGTCGCTTTAATCATGCTAACAATTCGTCTGTAACGGAACCCAGTAACGAACAATTGTCGGGCCCTGTTAATTACTTTGCCTCTGAAATAATACGCTAAAAATGGTAACGGGCGCGGTGGTTGCTCGATGGTTTGTGTAACGAATGATAATAATCTCATCGCACAGGAAATTAACAGCGGCGGCGCACGTGTCCGAAAATACAACGCAGCAAAGATAACATCAGAAGAGTAATCACGCCGGTAACCCCGTGCTCGTTTGTTTCCATCAATTTCAGGCGACCGTAGGGTCATCGGAGGTTCACATACCACTTACTCCCCTGAGTCACTTAATAATATCTTTGGTATTTTTACTGACCGACCTCACACGGTAATTCTTCGTTACCGCCGTAGTCATTTGTTGATGGATTTTGCGACGCGTATATGACGGGTCCATCGTCATCTGTTGCTTCGACGTCGAAGAAACAGTGATGGGACTGATGCGATACATATCCGTAATGTTCAAGCAATTGGATATTTACAGTAGCTTACGAAAATACACTGTATAAATATACAGTGTGTCTTATATACAGGGTGGTTGGTAACTGATGGTACAAGCTGAAAGGGGGTGATTCTACGCGAAAAAAGAAGTCGAAAATATAGAATACAAATTTTTCGTTCGAGGCTTTGTTTTCGAGAAAATCGACTTTGAATTTTCGCTCGGTACGCGTGCACTTTATCGCGTCTCGTTATAACGGATCTCACTGTAGATCGTTGTCTCGATGGAAAAATTAAAAAAAAAATTTTATTCTACATTTTCGACTTTTTTTTTCGCGTAGAATTTTTCCGCTTGTACCACCAGTTACTAACTGCCCTGTATAACATTAACATTATCACTGTAATCAAATCCGACTATCATGATTGTATTGGTAAGGTTTAGTCTATTCCGAACTGACGGACAACTGCTCGCAGACAATCTACATACGTTCTCAGCGAACAATCCGCAGATAAAGGGATACAAAATACAAACCCAGAGATAAGTAGCTACGTATATGTACCTATTGGTCGATTATAGAAGAGACAATGATTATGGGCAAATTAGATGTGGACCTACAAAATTGCGGACTGTCTTCGATCAGTCTGAAGTAGGCTTTTGAGATAAGTGCGTACGCAGTTCAGTGACTTTCCCAGTTCGGATCATCTGACTCTCCAATCTTTTTTGACGAAATAATAAAAATTTAAGAAATTCAATGTCTTTTCAGTTCAGTCCATTTAATGTTCAAAATTAGTCAAAAGGATCAGAGCCAACAATTTTGTTCGTAAGTTGGTATCGATACGTATCGATGGATCGTATATCGGTCCCAACACTACAAACAAAACATAGAAGGGGAAAGGAGAAGTAACGATCCGTTCGTCTTTCCGACTTTTTGCACACAGCGACGCTGCATCGCGCCTGGTTCGCTCGACTCGTGGTCTCTTGTGTGTGTGCGCGCGCGCACGCTCTTACAGTCGCTATAAAGAGAGAGGAACGCGTGACGGCTAAATCCTTCGCGATCATTCGAGTTATTTAACTGTGGCGCGACAGATGTGCGCGGAGGAAAGGAGAAGGCGAGTATGTATTAACAGTGACTTTAAAGCGCGATGAGTGACGAGGCCGGTTTGCGTCCCAACGGGGAAGAAATTATGAGGAATCCCGAGTCGGCGCCCCGCTTTTACGCATCTGGGAGGCCAAGAGTCGTCGGGGCATCTCTCTCTAACTGCGCCTCTGCCTCTCTCTTCTTTCTCTGTCTGCTCGTGACTTCTCTATTTCCCGCCTCCTGCGTGACGCGTTCCTTTTCTGCCTCGACTCGATCGTGGTGCCGTCGCGTGAATGACCGAGTGCCGCGTCTTTGAATTTTTCGCTGCGCACGTACACGACGTGATGGCACACACGATTGAATCCCGACGGGGACCCTCTACAGGGGTTGCGGTATCTTTATGCTAAACATGGAAACGCTACAATCTTGATTTTAATAGTTCTGGAATTGTAATTTATTGAAATTAATTGAAACGAAAACATTGATAAAATTGAAGTTTTAGCGAGATGTTATTAATCTTCAGGCGTTGGAGGTTAGGTCAGTTCTGACGCATGCAGACATTTTACGTTTCATACTTTCTAACCTACTTTTTTTTTGTTCTTGTGTATTATTTTAAAGGCGTGGCGAGGTGCCTTTATGGTACACATAATAAAGTTCGAATCTTGTTTTTCATAGTTTAGATTGTAATTAATGATTGAAATTAAGATGTTGGTAATTAAAGTCCCAGTCGATGTTGGTAATCCTTTTACTAATGTATCAATAGAAATACTTCTCTTCTAATCTCCTTACAAAGAATATATAATGCACTAAAATTAGCGTCAGTTTTACCGTAAATATATACATTTATTGTTTTACTAGCTAATAATATTTTAAAGTATAGTGTTGCTTATGCACAACTGCAGAGAGTGGAAGAGTTGATTGAGGTTAGGATAGATTACTTTACAGAAGGCATTGTTCAACTTCTAAGTTCAAAAGACACTGGTCTTAATAAACTTTTTAAATACAGATTATTTATGATATAAAATAGTGCATTTCGATTACCGTAGAGCAGATGTTATAATTAAAGACAAGACTTTGGCTTAAAATTGGCAAATAATCGATAATTAATTCTGATTATGCAAGAGAACGTTAATGACGTGCGAGACGCGTTTAATTTCAGGGAAGAGAGCATGAAGCAACGTCGACCGAGTAATTTTCGAGTCACGAAACTGGCTTCGCGTTTGCAAGAAATTACGAAGAATTCCCGATCGCGCGTTTGATTTGTACATCTGGCAGGCGTTCTATCGCTTCGTTTTGCTTTCCTTGCCGTGCTATTTATTCCTTCCGCCGTCCGGTTAGCTTTTTCTTCGTAGACCTTGCTCCTGCTCTTTCCACAGCTCCTCATTAATTGAATCGCTCAATTTCAACCGCGATTGGCCTGCATTTATCGTCGCGCGTTCACACTCTGATCGACCTACGAACAAGCTCGGATGATTCAGACCTGAAGCATTCGTGAAATCGTTAACAGAATACAGTCACCGGTTCTTCGTTAATTAAATTACTCAATTTGAATCCTGAATTGTGTTTATAACATTTATTATCTATCTTATAATTGGAGGTTGCTTCTGCTCACGTGCGTATGCTCTGAATGACGTCAATTAAGGTGCACACTGTTGCAACTTGTTCCCAAGATTAGATATTGTTTTATATAAAATGAATAATTGAAAATTGATTCTAATTATATCGCATTCCTTTTTCTGAAAGTTATTAATGTATGCTTTTATTATTGAAGAGGTTAGTATATTTTTAAGGACTCATTATTTGTAACTTGGCATACATTCAACTTACTATTAGCGAAGAGAGAGAGGAACGAGGTTGTTATTAGAATTATTATGTATATAAATTGTGAAAGTAATTCGGGAATAATTCCGTGGTAAGATAGACAGCCTCGGCATTCCGGAAATGTAACCACTCTATTGCGTCCACTGAAAGGGTTAATGGTGCCTCCGCGAGTAACAACTACCAACAGTTGACGTATATATAACCTGTATACATGAAACGGTATGTTAACGTTAACGACTTAATAGTATTAACTTAATAGAATTACCATCTATCAACGTACGTATTGTTGAGATCGAGGTTGCGAGTGCCCTCTAAATATTATACATTTTTTCAGTGAGACTATGGCGAACTGTGTTGAATATATATATGATGTCTTCCCAAAATTCTTTACAAAACTTACTCAGAAGACGCGATAGATGAATTATATATCCTAGAATTTAGTAAAAGCCACTTAAAGAAATTCATTATCAAGAAAATCGACAAATTTTCATTTAGAAATATTTGATAGAACTCGACAACCATATTGTGTAACAGTCCTCCTTCTTAAAAAAATCTCCCCTTACAGAAAAGTAGATTCTAGATTGGTGTCGTTTTCTTCTCCCGCTGCATTCCCCAAACCTTATCAGTTATCATGATCGGCGCTTCGCTGGAAATAGTTTTACGGTATAGCACGGTATTCGTTCCTTCCATCTTTCTTCCTTTTTCCTTTTCTTTGTTCCTTATAGCAAGCTCAAAAGCGGATTCCGAGGACATACGTTAGTGTCTGCCTAGTATTCCAGAACAGAGTGTCGGCGCCTAGAAGCCAGAGCATTTATCCATTGGGTCCCACAAAACATGTCTCCGGGTGCGTGCATTATATGAAAGGTACGATATACATAGCACGTACGACAAGTAGTAGGGGTAGTGCAGTGGCCCGTGCCGCCTGAAATACACGGACAACCGACTCTCTGGCACTCGACTCCATTCTGAGTGTGGCAGCACACCGAGCAACTCTCCCCTAACACCCGCGCCTCCTTCCTCACCCCTCTTCTGTTTCGGCCGCTTGCTCTTCAAACGCATCTTCTTGTTGCTCCCTGCACTTCCCCTGTATTGCTCTTCCCTCTTTCGTCTCGTTCCATACTTCTACCTCTTCTGTCTTCGAGAGCTCTTTACACTTCGATAGTGTCCGTGGTTTTCTCGTTCTGCTCTACCATGATGTTCTCATTGTTTGATAACAGCTGCAATAATCATAATATTGATCATTTTGTATGGTCGACTGTTCGCTTCGTTAAGTTTCTATATTCTTAAGTACCACTAATTAGTTTGTTATTTACCTACGACAATTATTTAAATAGGTACACAGGTAATAATGGACACGGGAGGTTAGTTATCTCTACTGTCTTAAAGAATAACATTCAACGGTCGATGACTCTTCTTTTGTAATTCTCCTACATGTAAAATATGCAATCGTTTGTTTTATGTATCATGAATTTTGTAGAGAGAGACATAGAGCGGCTACAAAAAGTACTTGTACAGCACATTGTCTTTATTATAGCAGCTACATATATATTCTAATTAATTAGTTTCAAGTATATTGAATTTTTCATCATTTAGTAGTACTTTCATATGACTGCAAAAATTTGCTGAACAGTAAAAATGGAATATAGAATCTGATTAAAAACCGCTTTAGTGGAAAATAAAGAATCTGTACAAATACTCTTCGTAGTTACTGCATATTTAAGTTTTGTAATGAACAGATTGCAAAAATTTGATGACACTTTCACTTTCAAGTAGATGCAGCCACAAATGGTCAATTTCCAAACGCGTGATGTCCGAATGATTCATCTAATATTGTATCTGCAAACTATGAATTATGTGTTGAATGATTTTTTCGTAATGAAACATTTTAAAACACTATATGGTGATACAACCGTTGTTTTCCATCTCATTCTCATCTCCATCAGATCCCGCAGAACTCCGTCGAGCGAAACAGTGAATTACGCGAGCGACATTACTCGTTTGATCGTTTTTTGTCGCCCTCTCGCGGTCGTTTCGTTTTGCCTGTCTCTTCGCCCCTTCTACAATAACGCTCGGTCATATCGAGAGAGACAGACGACCGAGGTTTCGACTAAACGCGAGAGACCCTTGACGAATGGTTTCAACGCTTTCTTACCGCATCGTCGTATTCTTTACGAGATCGTTTCTGGTCGTGCACCGACCGGTTACGTGGCCCCTTCCATTTGGCACGCGTTATTCGCGCGCACGATACACATCATTCGCCTCTTACGCTATCGTGATGTAGATTATTACGAGATTTATCGAGTCTGTGTTTTCAAGTTATAATTTACATGCACTTCCTTTAAAATTATGTTTTGCATTGTTTATGAAAGCTTTAAATATGTAACAACCTCGAGAGTCAAAATAGGACGATACTATCTATTAGTGGCGATATGTTAAATTTAAGTAATTTAAATAAAGATAATTTGGATCTGATCCTGAACTACGTATGTATATGTGTCTACTGTCAATTTTATCTCTCGTGTAAGAATCAGTGTGTATTCTCGCGAATTGTGCACAAGTTCACGCAAAATGGAAAAAGTGATTTTGTAACGAAAATCCGTTCATATACGCACTCGTTTCTTCAAATTGAGAATAGAATATTCAAAATTCTCCTCCGGAAAAGTTTATTTTTTTACGAATCTTCTTATCTTCTTTCTCTTTTCGTCTTTTCTTTTTCGGACGAGAGAAACTCCGATAGCTAGTTGAAAGTTATCACGCAACCGAGTACAGCGATAGCTGTTCTTTTTGGTTTACTGGAAATATTTTCATCGTGAGGGTTTCGAAGAAGACGGCGAGAAAGCGAGAGCGAATTTAAAATTTCGCCGTGTCTCATTCCGCGAACGAGGGCGAGAACGACGAGCGTCGATGTACGCGACGAGCACCGGATATCGTACGTTAGGTTCGCGATTCTGTGTGCGTGTGAATGCACGGAATCGATGTGATTCACGGCCGATGTGATGCGTGGGTGCAACGAGTACGGTGGTTCGAATGAATAGCAAGTGTATGGTTAAAAAATAAACAGAGTAAGATGAAATGTGAATAATATTTGCTAGTACGTTTATCCTGTACTGATCTGTTATACATCATTCCTAACCTCTATAGATCAACGGTATCTTGTGTTCTAATAAACTTTAAAAAATTCAATTTTCGACTTATACAGAATTTCAATTCGCAACGGCTCAATAAATAACAGGTTGGTAGAATAAAGGTGCGTAAGTGTGTTAGGTTAGGAAGATTGCGTTTCCATGAAACCGGAGACACTCCTCGAGATTAAGTTATCCGAACGCTAGAAATTCTGGAAGCACGCAAGGATCAGCAGCACGCTGCAGTTGCGCGCGCACACCGATTCTTCGTACGGTTCCCGCTCGATTTCTCTTCACGGTTGTGCGTGGAGCGGGTGGTAACGGTGAGTGATCGTGCACGACGGCCGCGATGCCTCTGAGAATCCTTTAATTTCGCGGTTCGTTAGGAAAATCATCATTGAAAACCGACATGACACATTATGTATCTCACTCACGCAGTTCTCAACTGTACTCATATACGTACAAGTATATGCGAGCTTACGCGCAAACTATATACTTTATTCATATTTATACCATGAATATTTCTTAAAATGACCATACTATAATATCTTATTTATGATTGGTAGAGAAGCATAGAAAAATAAGGAAAATGGAGAAAGGTGAAGTGCCAGTTACAGTCGGGAGCAGTCAGTGTAGATGCAGTATGGAGGGGAGAAAGATGGCGAGAGTAAGAGGAAAGAAACGAGAAAGTCCGTAAAAGGAATCTGAACGGAGGTGGAAATGAATATAAGGGAAAAAGGGGTGGAGACTCGTGGAAAAATGATAGGGGAACTGTTGAGTTGTAATAGTAATTGTAAAAGTTGAGGGGGATCAGAGGTGGAGGTGAAAGGAGGAGACGAGTTAGCATGATCAGTGAGCAGATAGGTAAGACTGATCTCAGTCGTGACGACAAATACGGTCATAATTACGCGTGTAAGGAAGTATAACAACGGACCTGCCTCTTTTCTCTTGGAAGAGGTTTGCCCATTTTCGGACAACCTGTGCTCAGTTGCTTTGCAGGGATATCGCACGAGGATTTTTCTGTCGGCTGAACGCTGGCCTCCGGCTGACTTATCGCGTCGCCCGATCTCTAGCAGGTTTCTGGCGCCACTAGTCACGCGAATTTCAATTATCACCATGCACTGATCTAATGCTATAGATATAACGCGTGTTCTGACTAACTGCCGTTTATAAAACGTTTGAATAAAACATTTGAGAATTGTTAACCCATATATTCGTAGGAATCTATATATTATCTATCTATATATAATTGTTTCGACATATTCGTTAGAACGACAGTTTGTTAAAATATGGACTTACTAACCATAAAAGCCATAACCTAAAGGTGCATCCTCATAGAAACAACAATATATAATAAACAGCATATTTTGTTACTGGTAACTGGCGAGCGTAAAGGCACCTAGAGAAACAATAGGCAACAAATATCAGCAATTTCTTCAAGAAACATGGATTATCAGCGACAGATTTCTAGTTATCGCGCCAGTGAGGGCACAGCTTAACGCTTATCGTGATTCAGCAACCAATCGGACGTGTCAAGAACGTTCTAGCGATCTACTTTCATCTGAAGACTATTACAAATTTAATTACATTATAGAGCAAGAGAGAAGGAAGTATAAAAATAAATCGTAAATGTAAAATCTAATACGAGCCGCACCCACGATCATGCAAATCGACAATCAAACGTCCCACGCTTGCGTGAATCGGATCGACCCGAATATAAAACCTGCACAGTCAGCGTTAACGATCATCTTAATGTATCTTTCGAGCGCTGAACAAGTGGCAGGGGAACGACAGCATTGGCAGACAGCGACAGTACAGAATTTGATTCGGCTTTTACTATATATGGATGTAAGAATGCCCGCACGCAACATTCTGATGTATGTATCAGGGACAAACGATGACGACGTCGACGACGACGGCGACGTCGATCTGGACGACGTCTGTTGAAGGCGCTTTGGCGTGCTCTAGGATACACCAGACACCGCGTAATGCTTGGCGTAGTTGGTGAATGGCCCCTTGATCCAGATTTTTGTAGGGTGATTTTTGCACACTCAGGGCCACCTATATATAGCACTCGGCACTCGACATTGCATCGCCAGTTGCCGTCTCGACGACAGCGTACGGCCAGGAAAGAGAAGCGAGGAGAGGGAGTCTTCGCGTTTTGTCTTTTTTCGTCTTCTTCGTCTTTCCTTCATTCGTCCTTTCTTATTCCCCTCTCTATTTCTCTTTTTATTCTACGTTTCCATTCTTCGTCCGAATTTTTTTTATATGTTGCGGTTAATTCCCCAATTTTTGTATGCTGGTGCAGTCAAAATCTGTCTTTTCACATACGTTTGTTTTGCAGTCTTATTGCTTTTTGTATTTGTACTTTCATTGTAATAAGTAAGTTGGATACCTTAGCCCGACCAACGAATCGTAGGTTGGTATGATTTGTTCTTGTTTAGTGTGTACGCAACCTATGAGCGCCTGATGCGTTTCGACCTCTGCGCGTCGCATGGCGTGCGCCGAACTGTTTGTTTACGGGAAGTGGTTAGAGAGATCATTGACTCGTTTGTAGCTTCTCAGCGAGTATAGCGTGTCGTGTGGCGATCTTCCACTGAATAGGAACAGTGTTATCATTGACACTGTCTACTGACCTCCAATAAATCATGCATAAGAATTTTCAGTCTTAACCTATAATTGAAGTTTCATAGCTCTTTTCATTCCAGTACTATAACATTATTTTTTTAATTTCCAATGACACGGAAGAATAGAAATGCACTGTATGACCGAAAAATTACACAAAGTATTGCGTACAGAATCACACATAAAATCACGTAGTAAAGGACATTAAATTAGGTATGCTCAACTCACTTGTATGTCACTTAGTGGAATTCTATCTTAGATCTCATTCTGAATCCTACTGTCAGGCAAATAATAAGAATG